TGGCGAAAGAACGATGCATCCCGTTCCCTCTGTTATTCGTGATTTAAAAATTGCGCCATTGATTATTTCATAATTTCAGATGGTGAGCGCCGGTGCAATCAGACAGGTGGTTTTATGAGAGTTTTTTGTTTCTCTCCGACGTACATGAACTGTGGTGTTTGGATTGGACTACATTTACACATGTAACTGTGTCCGGAGGCAACTACTTATCAGCCTGAATGACTGTAGAGAAGCAAACGTTTCACAGCTACATTTTACATGCATAGCTTGTCAAATTTCATGCATGGTATTTACCACAGCAATGGAAGTACAGAAAGCCATCGCACTAGTCTTCGTAAAGTCAAATTAATTTATGACAATTTATGACAGGAGATAAGAGCATGAAGTCCTGTAGATTATTCATCATTATTAACGGTTAACAGAATTCACCAACCTTGTCTGTTATGTAGAGGAAAGATATTTCTTCTTGAAAGTAGGGTGGTGCAGATCACTTCACCAAAGATGAGGAACGGCTAGTAGCTCCTGCAAAGAGAACAAACATTTTGTTTTTTTCAAGGCTTTTTCAAAGGTGTTCCATGTTAAAGGGTATGTGAGCTGTCAACTATCTAACACTGACCATTTTCGAAAGCGCGTCGCCGCTAGTAATGACCATGATGATTTGAGACTTGGTGATTCGGTGGTCCATGACTTCATAGTTGCTTTTGTTTGAATCGTTGATTACTGTGTATTCGTGAGAAGCTCAAATCAGCCCGTAGGCTGCTTTTCATTCAGGTCATGAAGGAAGAGGTCAGGGTCAGGCAAAAATATAAAGATAGAGTTTACATCATTCAAAGTCCTGAAAAATCTATACACAGGTTTTTGTTTTACATATGGTACAAAGTACATGGTGCGAAAGTTCAAGTTTTGCCCCTCGTAGCTTGGTTAGGCCGAGAACGCGTTGAACGCCCCTCGGCCGACATTTTTAAGCCGCTATTTTTATGTGACGCACCATGAATCGTGTCTTGCCCTCCCAACTATTCTAACACCATTTCCCTTGTACAATGAACCAAAGGTGCGTCAAAGATTATGTAGGATAGTTGAGCAACAATAGGAAGACTCACCACAGTATGGATGGTTGGCAGATTTTGTCTTTCTAGTCTGAAAACTTCATTAAATGTTAGGAGTCCATTTTACACTGGTCTTCACTGCTGTGTCGTTGGAATAGTGGTTGAACAAGTTTAGATGTGAGCTCATACTGCCTTTTCTCTTATGGCCCACAGGCTATAATTATATATCATTACTGTACCAGCCAGGTAAAGGTACGTTTGTAACATGTTGTTACCTCCATGAAAAATGGAGGTATTGTTTTTGGCCTGTCTGTGTGTTTCTCTGTGTGTGTGTGTGTGTGTGTGTGTGTGTTTCCGCACTTATAATAACTTCATAACGCATTTATGGATTGTAATGATATTTGGTATGCATTGGGTATGTATTTGGTATTGGTAAGTCTTAGGAGGACGAAGGTCACGGTGAAATATGGGCCTCCTGGTGGATGGCCTTGGTACTGCAGCAGAACTTTGTATCTTTTGTCCTAAACATGCTTGATAAATTGGTGACAGATAGCTTATCCTGTCAGGAATAAGCGGTGTAAGTTTGGTCCCCCTAGCAGCTTGTTCTAATACTGCAGGTTAGTTTCTGGTAAAAACTTTTAAAGCCAATACGTCAAGATAGGAACAACATATTTTCATCATTTTTGGATGTAGGTAGCTGAGAGAAAGTTGAACATAATTAAATGCAAATTATGCAAATGAGGACTTAATTTGCATAATTAATGAGGACATTCTATAATTACAGTGTTTTATATAATAGTACTGTTATACACGCAATATATTTAATCTGTGGCAGGCGGAACACCAGCAGATACCAATTATGCAAATGATGACCTTATTGGCATAATTAATGCGAACATTTTGTGACTCCTTATTGGTGAATGATGGGAATTTTATACCTTGTGACACGTGTAAGTTACTTAAAGGTTAACACAACTATGCCTATATTATGTTAATAGGGAGGTCATTTGCATAATTAATGAGGACATGTTGAAATGAAGTATGACAAAGTAGAGAAATAGAGTAGAAAACTCATATTTTATGGAGGTGTGAGATCTTCGAATTCTTGTCTAATAGTGAACTCTTGTTTCTTGTCAGCCATATATTGTTTCTACGATTTCAGACTGAGGCTGCAGTACACTTCACCACTGCGAGGGAGTGAGCTCAAAATGCCTCCCCAACACCAAGAAGACGGCATTTGCAAGCCATTTTTAGAACATTTCCCTCCGTTTTCTAGATACAGTGTATATGTTTGTGAGAAAGTTTTAATCGTTACTTAGCCAAGTTACGTTACCATCCAATCCACATTTTGTTTGGATTCTGTACCTCTGTTTCTCTGTTGTTTATGTATTATTTATTCTCAAACGGTGTCGTATAAGCCCACACGGGCTGGGCGTGGTATGCGCACGACACGAAAATAAAGTTTCATTCATTCATTCATTCATTCATTCATTCATTCATTCATTCATTCATTCATTCATTCATTCATTCATTCATTCTAGCTCTGGTCCGTTACTCTGATTACTCCTTGCCAAACGGTCTGATCTACTAATCTTCAAGCAGGTCCCATGATGGCAAAAGATAGTATCAAACTTGCGTATTGGACCCTCTCTGGCGACTGGGTACTGTCTGGGCAATTTAATTCTGGATTTTGCCAGCCTAGGACCTGCTTGGAGTTTACTGATCTAGCACCATCTAAATATTTACCCAATATGGTCAGCCTGCTTTTACAAAAATTCTAGCTATTGAATGTTTCTTCGAAACAGTGCAGCATACAGTACTTTCCATTGGCATTTTTTATGTGGATTGAATTTATTATTATTATTTATATTCTAAATGGCAGTCTTCATGTCAATTAGAAATAAATATTGAGAGTAGCCTAAAGATACAATAATGTTTCTAGGTGTCTTTTTCAGGCAGCTATGTTTCTTGTTCAGTTACAACAAATATTATGTTACTTTAATATACAAATGTTACATGCAAATCAAACACTAAGCTTTATTTTCAAGTGTAATACATACATACACATACTAGTAACTTGAACAACTTTAGATATAAAAACATAACTAAAATGTCTATAAACACTACAAGAAGTACACATATATAAAAAGAAAAATGGGACTACAAAACTACATTCTGCTTCTTCCAACAATTGTCTTGAAATATGGTATCTAGTTAATTGTAGAATTACAAACTACGACTATATTATTCTAGAACTAACTTGGCTTTAGTTTTCGAATACTTCTCTTCTCACTATCATTCGAAACTCTGTGCCCAAATCTAACAAAACAATATAGATAAGTAGATGAGTGTGATAAGTAGATTAAGAAAAATCTAACAGGATCCATACAAACAGTTTCCGGGTTTTGCTAAGAAAAAACTGTCTTGTTCCTGGGTAGAAAGAACTAACAAACAAATGAAAAGCTGTGTTAGCAAGAAATGAAAAGCTGTGTTACAAAGACTTCATGCTAAGAAAAAGCTTCACATCCGAGTATATCCATAAATCAATATGCAATATTTTTAGAGGCCTTATAATCACCGCCTGAACACCCGTTTGCTTGGAATTGATTGAAGGAGGGAACAGAAATGAAGAAATATTTTAAGCTATGTTTTCTACATTTTGCACAGTAGATAAATATACACTTGCAAAACTTTAGTGAATTAATTTTTGTTGTTTTCATTTCACAAATTCGCCCCATATTTAGCAATACTTAATACCTCCAATAGCCTATTGACTGGAAAAATTTCTTTGTTTTTATATCCATTAAACAGTTTAAAGTGCACAGAATAATGTCATATTTAATACATCTTGATACAATGTATGTATTGATGCGTGGCTTTAACATGCAGTTCTGTAATATGTCGTCTGCCTATATATGATATATAAGCTATATATACAAGCAATTGTAATCTCTAAATATGAATATAAGCAATATTTTTTTTTCCTTTTTGATTGTATGTTTTTCTTTGCAGCTAATTGTCATTAATATATTCTTACGGTGCACTTGTACTGTATACTAGCATGCACTGTGTTTGTGACTGAAAATATTGGATGTATACATTTTATTATCTACGCCAAGAAGGTTATGTTTTCAGTAGCGTTTGTCTGTTTGTCCGTCTGTTTGTGAACAGCATAACTCAAGAAGCTTAATACACATTGTCATGTAACTTGGGAGGTGGGTAGGTCTTGGTGAGACCTAGAAATGATTTAATTTCGGGCCCACTGGGGGGTTTTGTTGGTGCTGCAGCAGAACTTACGGTTTTGATATCTCACGATTTGGACATGCTAGGGTCACGAATTTCGGTTGGTAGGTAGCTCTTGAGGTTGAAAAGAAGTGACATGAGTTTGGGCCCCCTAGCAGCTTGTTCTGGAACTGCAGGAGTGTTTCTTTAAAAATCTACGAAGGTCGATAACTTAAGAACCGGTTGACGGATTGTCATGATTTTTGGTATGTAGGTAGCTAACGTGATGCTTGACATAATCAGATGATAAACAATTATGCAAATCAGGAGCTAATTAGCAGAATTCATGAGGAAATTCTATAAATCTGCTTCATTTGATAATATGACTATGAAACACTTGTGACATGTAATTGAGAACGAGAAAAACATCTGAGCATATAGATTATGTAAATGAGGACCTAATGTACATAATTAATGGGAAATTGTTATAATTTCACAGTTGGAAGTTAGTTGGAGGTAAACATCAATGAAGAGAATTTATTCACATTATGACCCCATTTGCATAATTTATGAAGAAGTGCTAGAATAGCCTTTTTTGTAAAAAATAAGGCTGTCGTTTGGTGGAGAATATTATCAACTGATGTAATCCATGCAAATGATTAAAATTGTATAATTCGTCAAACGGAAGGGTCAACATCTTTTGCCGAAGGTATGAGATCGTGGAACTCTTGTTATTAATATCTTCGGTACACAATGTACGATTTAGTTCAGTGAAACTAAATTCCGTATACTTCATATTCCTGGTTACAATCAACAAACAAGCCTTGTATTCTGGTCCTACGTTATCTACAAAATAAGAATATATAATGTTTCCTTCTTGGCAAAAAGCTTCTCCTCTTTCGCTCTCTTCCCTTGTAGTTTCCTAATTCAGCAATGAGGCATATGTCTGCAAAAGTAAACAAAAGGTAAACAACACTCTTTGATCTTTCCCATTTAAGAAAAAAAAATAGTGGAAACGGTAGTTTTCGTAATAAGACCCTTAATTACCATTTGATAATTTAAAGGTTAATTACTTTATTCAAGATTTAATTAATTAATTTATACATGTATAATTATTCTGGATTCTTGAAAAAGACGAATAAAGTCGAAACCGGTTGAATTCCGTCTCATCGCTGTCATTTTCCCACAACGCTATAAATGATGCATTTACATGTATATAAAACTTTACCTTGTGATCTTAAACAGAAAAACAAATATAAATCCTCATATGTAAAACTTTACCTTGTGATCTTGAACATAAAAACAAATATAAAACCTTCTATGTTAAACTTTACCTCGTGATCTTGAACATAAAAACAAATATAAAACCTTCTATGTAAAACTTTACCTTGTGATCTTGAACATAAAAACAAATATAAAACCTCCTATGTAAAACTTTACCTCGTGATCTTGAACATAAAAACAAATATAAAACCTTCTAATAAAGTATGTAAAACTTTACCTCGTGATCTTGAACATGAAAACAAATATAAAACCTTCTATGTAAAACTTTACCTTGTGATCTTGAATGATCCGATCCAGTGTTGCCTTCAGCTCCGGGAAAGTTGGCCTGTTCTCAGGAAGAGTTTCCCAGCAGCTCTTCATCTCTTCGTAACTGTTGGGTACAAAATATTTACATCAGTGAAACAAGTCAGTTAGTCAAATTAGGGTGTCATGTAGCTTTACGTAGCAGTACAAAAATTTATATATACATGTACTAATCCCTCATGTCACACACACACACAAACGCACGCGCACACACACACACACACACACACACACACACACACACACACACACACACACACACACACACACACACACACATACAAAGATACACACGCACACACACACACACATATATACACACACAACTTGAATACAAGTCCGTAGACGTACACATCTTGGGGACAAAAATCGGGTTTCTCCAGCCTGTAGCCACTTGGGAGAAGCTCCATAAGCTCTTTGCCTGTCATCCGGCCGTACGGTTGTTTACCTGGAAGAGCAAGTAAAAAGTATGAAACTGGTAAAAAGCTCATTTATGGTCGTAAAACATCATATTAATGGAACGACTATCACAGAACAACTAAAATGGTCCAATAAACCTATGATTATTTAACATACAATGCCGTATTCATCAGATGAAGTGAGAGATTTGGGGTAACATGTCAAATACATGTTCGAAGGAATTTTAATGTCAAACTTAGTGCAATGTACATAGAGATGGCAAATGTTTTTGTGCAGTCCTTACCCATTGTCATGATCTCCCACAAAAGGATACCAAAGGACCATCTGAAATGCGACAAATACAACTGCTGTAACGTATACCATGCCATGTGTTATAATCAATGTTAGATTCCCAATGTTAACTTCTGACTAAGAGGTCACGAATAAGACAGTTCATTTTACTTAAGTATGGACTCCGGCTGTGTCAATCTTAGCTCCCCAATCTGAGGCCATTCTACACAAGCAATACGGTAAAGGCAAAATAGCATGTAATGATCTGAAGGTGACACTTCACGTTGGAAACAAATATAGGTCTATTTCAGTGCTGGCATTTTATTTTTAAGTGTTATCTAAAACTGCCATATATGTACAATACATACACATCGCTTTGGGTGGTGTACACGTGGTAGAACAGGGACTCGTATGCAATCCATCGGATGGGTAGCTGGCTCTGAACGGGAAAATGAATGTTAAGATGCATTAGATTCCTAGCGTTTGCACTAAGTTTTGTCTGCTTCACAGTAAACGAACATATTTTATTATACTGTATGGAAAATAAATGAGATTCAACTTAAAAAATCTTCATAAGCTTCGCAGTGCAAATGTTTATAATTCACAAAGATCTACAATTACATTTACATATGATTCATATTACCAACTAGCCTACAAGATTTAAGTCACATGGTCTGTTAATGGTAGACCGGACCAAACAAAAAATATTAACCCCTAAAAGGGGCTCACAAAACGATAAGTAAACCGCTCTACCTGGTGAGACAACTATGTCATCCCAGTCAGGTAAGCACATACCCCACCGACCCAACCCCCGAGCCACCCCTTTAAGTCACATGTTTATACAATATTGTATAATATAGTATTGCTTACATCGACTAAAACAAGCATATCACACATACAATATCTCATGTCATCCATTCATAGTGGTTAATCCAAATGTCTAGAACAACATATCTGATCGTAGACATGTCAGGGACTCAAAATCAACATGGTGATTTCTATGAACCTCTGATATATTTGTTCGGATTTATTGAGTAAAGTACCATGCATCTAGTAAGGGCTTTGCTGTTCTACATTAATTTTATTGGACATGTGGAGTGCGAGAATCTACCTTCGTGGTCTTGACGTACTCAGACTCCTCGTAGATATCCCGCGACAGACCAAAGTCTGAGATCTTGGCCGTCAGGTCCTTTCCAAGGAGAACGTTCCTGGCGGCAAGGTCACGATGGACACACTGCATGGAGGAACGATTAGATTGTGACGCCATAGTGCACTGATATTAAAACGTGACAGAAACCAGATCCCATATGAAGAAACGATATAAAGTTACAGGTTAATTAATATTTAGCGATTTAGTACACAACTCAGTTTACTGTTACGGGCTATGAACACGGCTATGAGTGCAGTATAAGACCACGTACAGATTCTAATTATGCGAATATCTACAAAAAGAAGTACTACATGTATTACGAATTTGCAATCACAAAGAGCAAATCGTAGCCCATCCACGCAGTAACATGCTCTGTGTACCTGCATGGAAGCCAGGTGACTCATCCCATTTGCTATGTCTATACCAAACGTGATCAGTTGTTCCATCGGCAACAGAATCCCGGAAGTGGCAATGTCTTTGTCGTCTGTCTTGTTAAGCTCCTTAGGGCGGTTGTTTCTCAGCCAGTCCTTCAGACATCCATTGAGTGCGAACTCAACAACAAGTGTCAGCGGGCCTACAGCGGATCGTTTAAACAAATACTCTTAACCCTTGTCCTGCTGGCATTCCTGGCACAATATTTTTCAATAATTTCATGTCTTAATTAGATCATAGACCCCCGAATTTTTTGCCCTGCAGTGGCATAGTTACTTCCGCATTCGTTGCGTTTCGCTGCGGTGTGATGCGTTGCACGAGAAATACCCCCAAATCGTACCTATACAGGGTGTTATATAGATGGTACTGAATGTGCCGCGCGACATATGTTGCGCACAGCAGGACAAGGGTAGCAAGGTAAGTTTTTAACGTGACAAACGTGCATAATCTCATATTTTGAGTGATATTAATGATGACATGTTCAGTTGTAATTTTTTGTCTCCAATAGAAAGGGAGCCATTGCTCTTTTTCGAAGACAAGTAATATTACCATGAAAAGTTACCTCACAATTGAAACTACAAAACAATAAAACCAGGTTGAATTCTTACCTCCCACCGTACAAGCACCAACCAGACTAATGATATTCACATGACGACCGACGGTGACCAGAATGTCCAGCTCTCCAATGAGGTCCTCTTTGTCCTTTTCCTCTGCAGATGCTAAGTAAATAGACGGCGTCATTTGCAAATTGATTGTGTAACAGAAATTACTGTCCTGGCATAATTGATTATGCCTTTTCATAGATGTGAGCTGAGACACATAATGAACAATGCACCCCCCACTCCCTACCACGCCCCTCACATTTCCCGTCAATGTATGCGTAATGTGCTTATTTATTTTGTTTACCGAATGAAAACATGTTGTTTTCGCTCAGTTTCTTCTTTTCTTCTCACTGACCTGACCCAATGTTGTGTCTGTTACCATGGTAACTAATTTTGGGTGACATCTTGCAATTTTATAGCAGGAGGGATTTAGACTCTTGCCTGACCATATATGAATGTTTTGAGGAAAAATTAACAGAGAAGGCTATATGCGAAGGTAAACATTATGCATTTGCCTTGCAAATGTTACCTTTCTAGTTTACTTCAGGCATTTTGAAAATTCTTTAAAAAAATTCTTTTTAAATGCTAAGGACATCTTTAACTATTTGTAATGTATATAACACACCTTTCAGTGTCTTGACTGCCACGGTCTGGGTGACGCCTCTCTTCCTCAGCTCCCCCATACGGACCTCTCCAAACTGCCCCTTCCCCAGGATTTTACCCAGCTTCAAGCTAGAACGGTGGATTTCCCAGTCAGGGTGGAGAGGCTTGCTGCTCTCGGTGGACTCCTAGAATGAGAGATGAAAGCAAAATAGATATATTTGATATGCTTAATTAAGTTCGCACCATATTCCTGTGCAGTAGAGATTCTATAGGGATGATGGGATCTATTAGGGCCACTCAACCGCATGGTCAACAGTGTTTACCAGACAAATTTGACCGAGTGTTGACGTCAAATTTCAGAGAAACCAGATGAAAAATCTCACCGGGTCACTCTATTGAAGAAGATCGGAGTGACCGGTGGAAAGCTCTAGAGAGTTATCTCTTGTGTTGGTTCACAAGTGTTATCTTTAAGCATCTATTTGGGATGCTTTTCTTTAAATTCTATTCCTATAAATAATGACAAGGAATACCAAAAGACGATACTCTGTTCCCTAATTACATATCTAATGTTGAATTTTTGATGGTGCACCTAAAGCCATTTAAAAAGAATAATGTACTTTAATGCTTTATTGCTTATTGTTTCCACATTGTATGAAAAGCAAGACAGAATTAAAAGCAATGGATAAGACGAACGACCCGTACCTGATTGTCCTTCAGCTCTTGAAGGGCCTTTTGTAATTTTGCCCTCGGTCCGATCTCTGGAACGAGCTCAGCGAGCATATCACTGGTCAGTGACATGGCTCCTTCCCCGTCTACTTCGTGCCCTGGGGACCAGACGAACAATTACATCAACAATAATCTATAGTATACTGACCTGGAAATTTCTTAATTTGACGTGCCTATTGCAGAATGGAGGGGAGACAAAACAGGCGATTGCTTGCCTCTGGTAGTTATCTCCCCTGCGTTACAAAGTGTACATTACGAGATCTAATAGTCCTATCAAACACGTATTGAAGCTACATCAGCAGCTGTAGCAACACCAAGTACTTGGTTCTAGGAAATGAAGAAAATTATAAGTATAACTCTACTTACGCCTGAATGCTGCAGCATACTTGCCAAATCCCCTGGCCTTCAGGAATTCCACTACGTCGTCAACAGTAACAAGGTCTGCGATGCTGTAAATAGTCTGCAATACATACGTGAGTCGTGATGTGCTAGACGTCAACGTCTGTAGCCTTAGTCGGTACAGATACATGTATGTTACCCGGTTTGCTAACACAATGCATTGGAATCTACATATAGTTCTATATAATACAAGAAATGATATACACCAGGCTAACTTGGATGGTAAAAATGCATTAATAAAAAATTACCATGCATATTACAACGTTTTTTCACTTAGATAGTAATAGCACTACGTATGCAAACAATGCGATATTGACATTAAGATGGTAAACTGGTAAAATGGAATAGGAAAATCGACGGAAGTGTGCATTTCAGTTACCGTTTCATACGGTGAAGTGTCCTCAACCAATGCTGTAGGATTCTCAGCAGATTTCTTCATGGGTGTTTCGTCTTCTGTGATTATCTTCAGTTCTATCTGAGGACCTGTAGGGTCCTGGTCGTCTTCGGATTTCCTTTTCCTTTAACATATAAACGATCAAATCAGACAGAGTGCTTAGCTATGACACATGAATCATGATTACATTTTATGAACGGAGTATTTACGTACCTGTAACAAACTATCCCCACTGTTACAAGAATAACCACCAGTAGAGCAGACACACTGCCGCCAACGATAGCAGCAACAGGTACAGGCTGGTCTAGAAGGAAATCACCACAATAACGTTATATCAATTTGTATTGGGAAACTAAAACTTTACTCCTCTTTGTACATATGCGGTGAAAAGTGGCCATAAACAATCATCCTGACAATCATAACAAAAAAGGATCAACTTTGAATGGTATCTTATCCATAACAATTACCTTGCTTGACCGTTTCTGTGATCACAGGCACAATATAACCACTTGTTCTGAATAACTGGAAATGACACAGAGTATCAACAATATAATTTCCAATTGAAATGTACCCAACGCATCACTTTTAAAAGAATACATACAACAAAATAATTAAAAAAATGAAAAATTAAAACTCAAAAGGAGGCATGGCTCAATGAACACGTATAACTACGGTAAAAATACAATTTCCGTGTTCCGCTTGCGTCTCCTGGCACTAGTGTCCACGTAGCACCGTGCTGCTGCTGTGTACTTCTCCCCGGGGTGGAGCTCTTTGTTTCCAGGTTCCTTTGCGAGACTGGGATCGGCAAGTTCACTCCGCTCACAGCACCACTCGTGACCACAAGGTCCGCCATCGCCAATTTGTACGACATCAGTTTTTCCGTACAGCTCTCTGTCGAAATGCCATAAAAGACCAATGTGGTGCAAAGCATTTGTCATTAATGCAATGAAAGCAATAAATTTAAAAAAAAATGCTTTGCATTGAAACTTAATTGCTGCCGAAAGATTTTTTTACCTTGCATAAAAGATCCTACAGCATTAGCTGAACGTTCTTTTATGTTCGCAGAACATATATGACAATCACCTGGTTGTAACATATAGTGTCATTGAAGGATGTATAAATGATTAAGCTTACCCTGAGAGCGATAAAGCCACATAAGGTTCAGTTTTCCCTTCTTCAGGAGCATTATCAGTAAGGATGACGTCTGGTTCTCCAACTCTTGTTTTCAGGTCAGCAAGGCTCTCGGATTCAGTCATCTTGATGACGATGACTTGGCAACAGCTTAAGAATGCCATCAGGAATGTGATCGGTAAGTTTTCAAGAATGCATCGATATATATACTCTATGTAAAGTTTTACTTCTTTTTATTGGAGATGTAAAAGTACCAAAAGAAGAATAGAAGGAAAATAATACAAATTGTGGTTTTGTACAGTTAGCCCTGATTAATGGTTGTGGCAAGGACATCTGATATTAGAAGCACGTACCGTATGGGACCATTCCTCTCGCTCACTTTCGGAAGGACCATGGGGAAAGATGTTGGCGAAGCCCTCAAAGGTGGGTTGGTATATGCAGGGAATACTGGGAGAGGAGGTGGTTTACATTGGTAAATGGACATGTTGACAGCGTTACTTAAGAAAAACTATGTTTTACTTCGACGTAATTGAGCATACGATCATCTGCCGCAGAACCGCAATTTCATTTAAATCCCTACTATGGCATGCGGGAGAAATAAGACGTTAACACGAAATGAGATATTCAAATAATGATTTTCCTTTAATATTTTGTTTGCTAATTGCAATATTCGTAATATGACTACTCCTCACCAACTCTTGTTGGCACTTCACAAGTGAACTCTTGTCCCTTGTCTCCCTCGGCGCAGGTTAACGCACGAACTGTAACTCGGACCAACGAGTTGGCGGGGAGCTCATCCAGTGACTTGGACCACTGTTGTTGATCTGAACCAAACGTATCAGAGCTGATGCCTAGCTCAGACTCATCTGGATTGAGACGTGGCGTGTCTGTATATGTAACCTGTGTGGAAGGCAAATATAGTTAATAATGAGATATCTTTCGATAATGTTTTACCGACGCAAAAACCATAACAAAATGCAAACTGCGGCTTCTCGCTCATGCCATTTTACCTACATTGTACCCTGTCAGCCTCCCTCTGGTTTCTGCAGGAGCTGTCCAGGTTACTCCACATTCACTGTTTGCCATTCTTGTCACAGTCGGGGCATTTGGACCTGATGACAATAAGTAGTAGATTTTAGACTTCATAACTTCTGGGAAGTATGCAATCCTTGGGTTAATGAATTCCTCCATACCTGCTGCCTCCATGCCAGATTCACTGGTACTTTTGCAATTCTGCCTTTCTTTCTTAATTTGGTCAGATAGACAAACCTAGGAAATGTGTCAGTTACGTAGACGTGATTTCTACTTTATTTTTAAGTAAAAAATTAATACTTACATCCGTCACTCGTACGGGTCATATATGGGTAACTCTCATTCCCACGGTAGAAGGTGTTAATAGCTGACACCTGTTAGGTGTAAACGAAACAAATCAAATGGGTCTTTTATTTCTTTTAACAATATCATTGATTCACTTGACCATTCCTAAAACCCAGTAATTGTAATATTGCATCATTATAGGATCCATGGTTTGGCAACTATTTCTTAAATTCTTTAGACATTCTTTAGTCATGTATATGAATTTGTTACAGAAAATATGAAAAAAAATTAAGACAGCAACAAGGTGTTGCAGTTTCTACTTACAGTGACAGAGTAGTTCCTTGCGGGCTGTAGGTGTGACGATGTGACCACAGCTGTCAGGTTCTCCTGCTGCAGTCCTGACGTCATGTTCTCCTGGTAGAACGGTTCCCCGTCGGTCCTGTTGTACAGGCTGATTCGGTACGCCTGCAGCTGACCGTGGATGTGGTCAGGGCGCCGCCAGGCTACACGCAGCTGGACCGGCCGGGGGAGGTTTGGCGTCTGGCAGTTACAGTCGTGCTGGTCTGCAAACGTCTGGATAACTGGAACTGCCGGATCTATTGGCCATTTGTAGATAGGAATGCATAATGAATGTACGCCTCGGCTTAAGATTTTTTTCTTGCATCTTTTTTATATAATAATACTTAGGAGGAACTATTCGGATATTATGAATCTCCTGTCCAAACCAGCAGCTGCTTACATGTCATCTATTAATCTCCAAGCAGATCTTTTTGTGGGGGTAAGACAGTATCAAATTGGCCAGTCTGTATCCATTTTCCCGCCCTTGGGTGGGGAAATAGATACAGACTGGCCAATTTGATACTGTCTTACCCCCACAAAAAGATCTGCTTGGCGATTACTTTATTATGGTGGTGGGCCATCTTGGTGGGATATCTATTATGCTAACATTCAACTCATTGCTGCATTCTGTATAGAGGCCATTTCTATTTTGAATGATGCACTACTCACAATATTCCAACGTCCTTGTGATGTCACAGTCACCAAAGACACCTTCCCCTGCACTATTCACCCCTCGCACCCGGAATGTGTAGTTTGTGTACGGATCTAGGTCCCCAATAGCGGTTGTGGTCCTGTCGTCCGTACTTGTAACTTGTAGGATAAACGCATCTTCACCACACGACTCCGACGTTCTGTATTGTACCTTGTAGTTGAGGATCTCCCCGTTTGTTTCTATCGGAGGATCCCAGGTCAGGTGGACAGAGTTGTGTGAGGCTGGTACGGCTGCCAAATTGTGGGGAGGACCCGGAGCTGCAAATGTAATGAAGCACCATCTGTGATTAGGCAGCAATTAACGTTAAACTCGGCATACTTACTGTTGTGTGCAGTAATATATAAAGGGCGACAAATGCCACGTAAAAAGCCAAAGATGATAAGAATCCTTACGTGCTTCGTCAGTAGTTCCCGTCCCGTTGCCAGGATCGCTCCATCCCAAAGAGTTGTTCACCCGCACTTGAACATCGTACATGGCGGCCGGCCGTAAGCCGCGGATGTATACATCGCCGTTATCATCAGAAACTCTAGCTGATGACCATGCTCCCCAGTCATCCTTGCCGCTCTGTTTGTAGCGTACTTGGGAGTCGAAGATGTTACCGAGGTTACCGGTTACTCCTACTGTCCACCTGATGTGTAGGGCTGTAGAGTTAACTGCCGTAACGCTCACTGTCACGTCACCAGGGCTTTCTGTAGTTCCGACAATATTAAAAGTTTATGGATGCGCACATTTCAGTTACAGGCAAAGTACATTTGAGGTAGATGTTCATGTTAACACTGTGTCACAATGTAAACTTGAGAGGTTTGGTTGAAATTCGATGAAAGATTGTGCATTCTTCTGAACTTTAACTTATATGAGATACATAATATCAGTTTACCATATACTATACGGTAAACTGATATATGTATCTAATGTATCCCTAAATATGCATTTCATTTATATATATGTATATATTGAAGAATCTTATTGCATTTTCATTCCCCGGGATAAATGCAGGGAACGATGAAAATACAATGTACTAGAAACGAACTACAACAATAATAAACAGATAACTAGATCTAAGGTATAAAATGCTAAAAACTATGTAAGGTAGTATAGATCGAAGTTCTTATCGTTTCTTCTTCTTTTAAACAGTTCGAAACATACTGACATACCTAATTCGTTATAACTACATTTGTAAATGAAATTATATTCAAAAGTGTCTTGTTTTGATTCAGTTTACATTTTAAATCATTTCATACCTGTGTATATTAAAAAGATAATTGGAAATTAGTCATCACGCATAGCAATAAGACTAATCTTATGAATCCTATATTTGTAAAAAAAAAATCACAGTTCACAGTTTACGGCATGGCACCCGGTCGCACAATCATGCATGCTTTTTTGTGCCTGTAGAAACAGCAGGACCTATTAGGTCTAGTCTAAATCAAGGTAAGAATTATGTTTTAAATTAAATTTATGACTTACTTACCTTGTTCACAAAATGCACCGTACCATCCCGTGGGACATGCACAGATGTACAATCCGGAATCCTCCGGTCCAGATGTAAGGGTTCCCCCGTTCTCACATGGTCTAAACGATGATGCTGTTAAGTAAAGTAGTGCGAGAGACAATGACTCTGCTGTAATACTCATTGTAAACAACCGCATTCTCTTTTCATTTATTTGTACCATTTACGTATTAACTTAAATGGAAATATTAAGGGCACAAAGTGTAATGAGTTAAACTCCTACCAGGAAAATCAACTGGCCTGACCATCATCACTGTTTTCTTTAAGGAATACGCGTAACCCAA